CTCTCTCTCTCTCTCTCTCTCTCTCTCTCTCTCTCTCTCTCTCTCTCCCCACGCTGTGTTAGCATATGTGTGTATGTGTGTGTGCACATGAGAACTCTTGCCCACACATGCTTGAAGTGCAACTGGAGGTAGAAAGGTTAGGAAATACCCATTTATAACTGATGCAGTCTTAGCACAGTTTCTAGTCACAGAGTGAGAGAGAAAGTGATGCACACCAGTGGTGATAGAGTAAACCTAGTTACAAATATGGATACGCTTCCCATCTCCCTTCAGATCTTGCAGAAAAATCCAAGGTTGTGTATCAAATGTAGCAGCACAATTAAGTAAGACTCTGATCATGAATTTTTGCTATCCTATTTGCAATCATTAATAATTTTACTGACCATTTCATGAGCAAGAAATATAGGTACTGTTATGTGTATGTGTTATGTCACTATAGAAATTACATTAATTTAACACTGATCCTGTATGTTGTACTTTACTTTTTACTGAATACTCAGTATCTGCCACGTTTGACCAGATGCTCACACATCTCTGGGTGAGATGGGATTCTTCCTTTGACTAAATGATTGTAGGTCTTCCGTTGAACCTCCTGCGTAATAATGATGTAAAAACTAAATGACTTCCTATTCAGTCCATTCTCCATTGTATAAATACTGAAATCATGATGGTAGCTAAGCATCAATCATTGCAAAAGCACATTTACATGTTTATTGAGGTTAAGCAAATACACCATGACTGCTTATGGTTTCTCTCTTCTATTTTGTATTTGGCATGTCTTCTAGAAGAGGCTGACAGGACTGTAATACCCTGGTTAAGGTCAGTACATGCTAGTGTATTATTATCATGATGTTTTCGTAAGAAAGAAATACCTACACAAAGCACTCTCTTGAATATTCCTACCACAGTTAGGAACACTGTCAATGAAGAAGTATATAAAAGATATGTATTAATACCTCATGAGACATAATTTAGACGGGATTATTTGTTCTTTCTCTTAGTCTTCTTTTTAACCACTCACGGGCATCCTATCCAATGGTAGCCAGAAAGGATGTGTGCATCCTAGGCGTGGGCACCCTTATCAGTAATCTGTCCTTAATTATCACACAAGATTATTTTGTCCTTTCTTGAAGTGTTTGTGTATATGGAGTGTCAGGGAAATTTGGAGGTCCAAGCACTATTACTATTGCAGTTAAGACATATTCTACTTGGTATGTGTTACAGACATTGATTGGAAAATAAGGGGTGTTAGGAAAGATCAGACTTCAGAAGATGAGAGTCTAGATTCTTTAAGACTATCTTACAACATTTAGCTCTAGCCTAGGGTAAGAGACATAGTCAATGATGGGGAAAAATGAGGAATTTCGTTTTAGAATTATTTTATATTTGAAGTTTCTAGAGTTTGGCACAATTTCTAAATATGTATTGAGATTAATAGACCAGGAAGTGATTAATTTTGAAAAGCTGTACTTCAAATATTGTCCTTTAAATTCATTGATTGTATGTATCATATTCCTGTGTACATACTTAGATTCATGTATCATCATGTGGAGTACGGAAGGACAGGAGGACTTGAGTGTCTTAGTATGATTTTGTACATTATTCCCTCGGAACCGAATCTCTTACTGAACTTATAGGTAGACTGGTGGCCAAGAAGCTCCACAGAGCCTCTTGAAAGGAATAGCTGAATGAATATGCAGCTGATCCATGTTGATTTACTCTTTTGCAGCTTAGCTGTAACTAAACCACATTTAAGGTGCTTATGCCATACCTTTCGGGTGTCTATAGTTCCAGTGATGTTTCTCCTTTTATTAATCAGAAACTTATATGAACATGCTTTTCCCCAGACATGGCTCTAAAAGCTTTACAACAAATCTTTGAGAAAGTGTGATTGTCCATATACCCAAATTTTTGATAATTACCATAGTTATCTTTTATGGGATATAATGAGAATCTATGGTATGGTTAATTGTATTAAATCATACAAGGTAAATGTAATTATCTTCTATTTATTTAAAGATTTACTTATTTTCATGTATATATTAGTATCTACCTACATCTTTGTATGCATATCTTATGCCCTGTCCATTTGCACCAGAGGAGAGAAATAGATTCCCTGGAACTGGTGTTACAGATGGATGTGATATAACATATGGCTGCTGGGTAGCAAATTCCTGTCCTTCAAAAGAGCAGTAATGGCTCTAAATTGATAAGCTATCTCCCCAACTCTATACCTTCATTTTCATAGTAGCAAATGGCGAATTGGTGGTGTCATGCATCCTTTTCTTCTCTTCAGAAGCTGGTTGATATTTGAATCAGAACAGTGAAGGGACACAGTCTCTCAATGGGTGTGGAGACTGTACATAGTTTTGCAGGGGTCTTGGGTTTTATACAGTGAAAAGGGGAATTTGGGGATGGGAGTTTCCTACTGCATGTCAGTTTTCCTAAAGTCTCAATGGAGTTTACTGATATATTCATCATCTTATCAGAAGCTTTTCTGAGAAGCTTCCATATGCCAAGTGTCCACAGATAATTCACTGTGGAGGAACCACAGTGCTTTCTAAGGATAAGTATCCTAAATATTAGTATTTAGATATGTCAAATAAGGTAAATATGTAAAAATAGGTGAGGGTAAAAAGTGTTTTCAGATTTACAGGGCAGAAAATAAGGCTCAGGAAGTAAGATAATTTGGGCAATGTGACCTCGTCATTAGTCATCCGATCTGAACTTGACTTCAGTAACTTCTGAATCCCTTCACCATTTATTAACCAGCAGTGTCACATGTAGAATTAGATACTGTTCCCCCAAATTCATAGACTGTGCCCAGTTCTGTGACTGCAACTTGAAAATTCATCTCCCAGTGCCTCATCCTATGACCTGAATTTAATGAGATAATTAAAATAAAATAATGTCTTATGGGTGTGCCTTAATACAATATAACCTATTATTTTTAAAAAGAGGTTAGGGGTTGGAGATATCTCAGTTGATAAAATGTTTCACACATATGAAGACCTGCAGATCCTTAGTAACCACATAAATAAATAAATAAATAAATAAATAAATAAATAAATAAATACAAAACTAAACAAACAAAGTGAAAAACAAAACAGAAAAACCTAAGAACAATAAAAACCTGAATGCTGATACCTATAATCCCAGCACTGGGAAGAGGCGGTACAAGTGGGAGATCTCAAAAATTCCCTGATCAGTCAGTGTAGTCAATGAATGAGTACCAGGTTCAGTTAGAGACCTTGGCTCCAAACCTATGGTGGAGCTTCTTGAGTTTGTCCCACAGCTCACTAGCACACTCCTACTCTTGGGAATGCTCTCCTTTTCATAATAAACACTCTGTTTCTGTTTCTAATAGTAAGTAGTAATTAATAATAATAATAATAATAATAAAAGAAGATTGAGAACTGAGAACTGAAGAAGGCACTCAATCGTGAGCTCTAGCTTTTACACACATGCAAGCACGCACGCGAACACACACACACTCCATCTCCCATGAACAAACACGTATACACATATGTAAAAGAAAAGATCAGGGTACATGACACAACAACTGGCATCTTTATCCTGGGTTATAATCTTCAGCATTGTGAGAAATGTGTTCCAGTAGTCTGAAACATCCAGTCCCTAGGAAACTTAGATGTCTAGCTGGAGCAGTAAGTATCCTCTGTTGAAAATAAAGAAGGAATGAGGACATTGCTCCACGCCAGTTCCCTGCCTACACCAAGCCCAGAGGTCAGATGACTTCCTGGGATGAAAGCCAGCTTCCTCTTGCTGTTCCTCCAGTGGCTGGTCAGCAAACGCCTTCTCCTTCCTGTTCTACCCTTCAGTCTTATAACTTCCCTCCTGCGACAGGGCAGATCGATTCTAGAACAAAAACAAAAGTGAGAATGCTAGGGTTGGCACTCTCACTTCCTCTTTGAATGTAGTACTTACAGAGGGGCACCCACTGAGAGAGAAGAGACAGGTACCCCAGGGACTCTGCCCTGCCACCAGTTACAGATCGTCATGCTTTCTCACGGCCTCCACTGGTTGCAGAAAATGCCAGGATGATGCCTTCCTTGCTCCTGGCTGGGACTCTGATCATGGCATTGTTCTTCTCCTGCCTGAGACTGGGAAGCTTGAATCCCTGCATAGAGGTATGTGTATCTGTCTTGATCGCAGAAGATCGCCCCCTTTCCTGCTAGCCTCCGGTGTTTCTCAAAACTGTTTTCAGCTCAGAGCTAACCCCGTGTGTTCTGGTAAGTTTATTTTGCGAAGGAGTTAAACTAATGAAAGACTTCAGAAGCTGTGGCAACAAAAAGCCTCAGTGTTAACTCAGGGCACGAACAGGCAGCCAGGGGTGTCTTGTTCCATTTATGGAGTCTGAGTCATGATTTAGGGGCTTGAAATTAGTAAAAAATAGTTTACAGTCATTGTTCTGTGACCGATCTGAAAGACGTCAAAGAAATTACTGAACATCTCTGAGGCCAGTATTCACACAACGAAAGAATGAGTGTAATCACTAGAAAAATGTAAGTAGGCTGTTAATATCAGGGCTTTCTGTAGGAACTCTGGACACGCAGTTTTTAGTAGTCATTCTTTTCCTTTTCAAATCAGGGAAAGGTAGCTGTCATTTCTGCCTCTTAAGAAGCACCTTTGAGAGGTGAAGTGGTGGCTCAGCAGGTAAGGTCAGTAGCTGCCAATCTGAGGTCAACCCTCAAGCCCCACAAGTTGGAGGAAGAGAATTCCCTCATTTAAGATGTCCTCTGAGTTACAAGTGTCTGCCTTGGCAGGTGTGTGCATGTCTGAGCCCACACACAAATGAATAAATGTAAAAATGTTCTTAAAGTAAAGAATGTCTATAAAAAACATAACAACAGAACAAACAAAACGCCGAAGAGTTTTCGAACTGGGATTTCAGTATTCTACAACTAACTCTAGAAAATAAAGAAATGGGAGGGAAGGAGAAAGGGAAGGAGGAAGGAGAGAGACAGCGACAGAGCAATGTAAAACATCATCTAAGGCAATCACTCCCTTTTTGCTGGATTATGAGGAGTGAGTAATCTGACCCATGACTCATTCGTCTTTTCCTCCTGCACAGACCACACAATTATCTTAGAAGTTCACAATAGAACTGAGCAAACAAGGAAGGAATTCAGGGTGAGGTAGGCTCAGAAGCTCAAAAGAGGTACACTCAGCTAAGATACATGGTGTTCATGTGGGAAAAAAGTACAGTTAACTTAAAGAAGTTACAACTCCAGTGTCTTGCTTTCTGATTCTTCAGTTATGTTGATAGAGATAGAATTTCCAATCAATGCTACACTGAGAAAAAAATCCCCAGCTGCTCTTGATGTCTGGCGTGCTCTGTCAACTCTCAAAGCTTGCCTGTTCCTTCTGTAGGCCAGGTCTCAGTGCCCTTGGCCTTGTCTTCAGGGGTGACTACAGACAAGGCTTCCTAATTTATAGTTCTTTCCATAGCCACACTTAATTTCTTCTTTATTTATTGTTATTGGTTCAGGGGCTTAGATTTACCAAATTACTCCTTTATACACTTACAATAACTCTTTAGAACATCTCACAGGGCCTTGGTACTGCCTAACCTACCTACCCACACCATGTCTCTCCTAGATCAGTGCTCAATATACTAAAATTATGGAATGTCCATATATAGTTTAAAACTTCTGTATGGATCAAATTGAAAAATTAAAAGTAAATGGATGAAATTAGTTTCAGTGATATTTTTATGCAATCAAATATAGTTAGGCAATTATAAAGATATTTTATGTTCAGGTTTTGAGACAGACTATTAGACATTCCGCAATATTTTTGGTTTACTGTACATTTTTATTTATCTTTTCCATGTTTCATAGCTATGTGTGGCTTTATAGCTGCAGTACTGTAATGTAGGGCCTGATTTCAGGATTTATTTTTTCATTTTAAGTTCATCTCTATATAAATGTCTCCTCAGGGTGATTTTTCTTGATTGCCTCATGTAGATTTTTCTGTTTACCCTCTACATATGCTCTTTCATTGATCATATCATTTTGTACTTTTTTCTTTTATTTTTCCACAATTTATCCTCCCCTTTGTGTAGAATCCACAAGAAGGTAGGATTACTGATGGTTTGATCAACATGCCACCAATGACTCTTAGTGGTTCTCAACTTTCTTAATGCTGAGATCATTTGATAGAGTTGATCAGGTTGTGGTGACCCAGAACCACAAAATTATTTTGTTGCTACTTAATAACTATAATTTTGCTACTGTTTTGAACCATGCTGTAACTACCTGATATGCAGGATAACTGACACGAAACTCTTGTAAAAGGATTGCTTGACCCCCCAAATGGGTCACAGTCCACAGAATGGGAACCACTGACCTAGATCATATTAGGTATTCAGTTGTATGTGTTGAATGTCTGAAATTAATGAAAGAATGACTTCTGGAGACCATCTGATACCTTCATATTCAGCCTGTGGCTTCTCCATGACATAAGGCTCTCCTCCTATGCCTGATAGCCAGTTTGTGTGTATTTGTTCCCACTCGTTATTGTTTACTCATGTTCTTTTCTCCTTATGACATACTTTTTTTTCTTTTCCACACATTTTCTTGCTCAGCTTTCCCATTGTGAATCTAAAATCTGTGTCTAGCTTTGCAGCTTTTGTAGGTCGTATTTATTTTGCTTCTCTCTTACCTGGTTCTATGAATTTGGTGCTATCCAGAATTCTGTAGCATGTATTTTTGTATGGCCCACGTCCTTTAGCCGAAAAAAAAAAAGCCTACTATTTGGATTAAGCGGCCCTCTGTCCCATCAGTTACACAATATTTATCATTCATTCATCCAACAAATGTCTCCTGAGCATTGAGAGGTCACCATGCACCTTTCTACACCTTGGAGACAAAATAGCAAACAAAAATCACCAGTGCATCAAACTCGTGGTTCAACTGATCAAATGAAAAGAATTTGTAAAATAAGTATATAGGCAATAGAATTGCCTGGTCATAAAAACCTCTAAAGGAAATAAAAGAGGGTGAAAGAAGAATTTCTGTCTGGAACCTTACTCTCTTAGACACATTGTCTGCAAGGATCCTATGATGAGAAGCCTTGAGATAGATATGTGTGAAGGAGCCTGTATATGTATGCATCCTCTGATTATATTTGTATTGCCCCATCTCTTTTATTTTCTTCTTTAGAGGATTTTTTGAAGATTAGTATCAAATATATAAGATGTAAGTAAATGTTAATGTGCAGGAAGGAATCAATAGTACCCAACGATAATTAACGTTAATATTTATCAACTTAATTAATGTATGCTTTGAGATAAGCTCGGATCTCATAAGCTCTTAGCCCTGTGAGAATATTGCTTTTAAATAAGAAAAAACAAATCTCACTGGGTTTAACAAAGTATTTCCTGGATGAAATCATATGTTTATGACATAACTTGGAATTTTATGGTATAGCGCTCACAATACATGTGTGAAAACAAATAAAATTAAATGGAGACTATGAAAGACAAAACACTCAACGTTGAGTACTATTTTCTACCACTGGAATCCATGAACTCAAAGACTCACACTGATTCCAGTACCAAACTAGGAAGGTCAATGAGCCTATGAATAGAAAGCAATTGTCAAAAATAGGGCAGTAGCTAGGAAATATCTGTACATCTTTATTGGTATTCTCTATATGGCTGTATGTGATGATGATAATTAATTAGAATGATAATAATGTTACATTAAACTATGTACAAACATACATGTGTTTTACATAAAACTAATGAGGTTCACAAGAGATATTATAAAACCAAACCATCACACAAACAAACAGAGCTTTGTCCCACACTCAGTATTCCTTAGTTCTTTTTATAGGGTTAAGGACTCCTGGGCTTCTTAATCTATCCATGGTAGCATAGCTGTTGTACTCTTTCAATTCATGTTTAGGCAGTCAGGTTAGTGAGACTTTATGGGTGGGGCTTTTGACAATATCACAGTAAAGTTCATGACCTTTTGTCTCTTACAGTCTTTCAGCCCCTAGGTCCATAGGTATGGGAGTTGTAAATGTTTTCCTTGGTACTGGGCTCCAGAATTCTGCATTTTGATTGGTTGTGATGTACTGTAATGATTTCTGTATAGAGTGTAGGCAAAATAGTCTTTCCCAAGGAAGAGCTCACCAACTGGTTACCAAACACCAAACAGTCATCCTTCAAAACATATATATGAGTAATATTACACAAACAGAGCAGGTTGTACTTATATGTGTATATTTACACACACTCACACACACACATATACAATTAATAAAAAAAGGCACCATGGATTTGCAAAAGAAAGGGAGTAATGAAAGAACTTGAAGAGAGGCAAAGGAAAGGAGAAATGATGTAATTATAGTTTCAAAAAATAGAAATAAAAAAAGATGAACTTTCTACCAAGTGGCACAAAACATTTGTTATGAAACCAAGGTGTTCAGACTTGAGAGTCATTTAGCACCTGATTCTATTGTTTCTCATTTTATTTTAATTTTGTTGTAGCAGAAGGTTAACACATTGAGAAAGCAGGGGATATTTTTTCTTCTTGATATGTAGAATAAAACATTTTATAAACATAAACTGGTAGATAAAAGACTGGAGATAGATAGATGTTATGTCATATCCCTGGAATGCCAAGACATGTATGGCAGAGGCATGTAGATGAGGAGTCCAATGTTATCTTTGACTGTATAGCTAATTTATGGCCTGTCTGGGCTATATTAGAGCTTGTTTCAAACAAATTATATCATGATGAGTAAATGGATAAGTGGATGGTATGTTGACTGGCATGTATTTGTGAGTTTTATCACCCCATTATTCATCTTTGGAGAGGAGTGGGAACACATACAGTTGGAAAAATAACATTTGTTGTGTGATATTTACAGGTAGTTCCTAATATTACCTACCAATGCATGGATCAGTATCTCAGCAAAATCCCTGATGACATTCCTTCTTCAACCAAGAACATAGATCTGAGCTTCAATCCCCTGAAGATCTTAAGAAGCTATAGCTTCTCCAATTTCTCAGAACTTCAGTGGCTGGATTTATCCAGGTAACAAATGAGCCTTTATGTGCTGCAGAATGTGAAGTAGTTAATTTTGTATCATTGCATTGTTGGCTCAGAAAACTTAGATGGCTCTAATTAAACACCCTTCACTCATCTATTCTGTAGACTTACTACTTGCTGTAAATCCTTGGAGAAGCTATTTGTATTTATCTGGTTTTAGTTTGATGTGCAGCTGGATAAGAATATCTAACAGCAGTTCTAACTTCTACATTATTTTAAACTATTTCATTAGATATTTATGGACCATATCTTCTATGTCGTATATCTAAGCTATAGAAAAAGAATTTATACATATAAAACTCATACTCCTAATTATTAAGCAGGATAAAATCGTCTTTAATAAGTTAATAAGTTAAAATCTTATCCTTGTTATTATTGGACATATAGCACAAATCAAGCAAATGTTAACTGACGTTAACGCTGTGGTTTACAACAGTAAGTAAAGAAGTATGTGAAAATAAAAGCAACACATTGTGTCCCTTAGAAGAGGCTCTGTTGTGTTATGTGTGAGAGAAGATCATGAAAGATTTTAAGACGTGAGTGGGTATGCAATATACCTGAAATATTGAAAGTAGAAAAGAGGGCAGAGAATGAGAAATATTTAACTAAACAATAATCACTGTCCTCTCTGCATCCCAAACATCAAGGTCATAGACTTCTCTAATCAATGATTTTGACCAGGTTAACAATACCACCAGCCTTGGATAGCATCCTGTGGAATGGAGCAAAAATCTAATCTAAGAAAGGTTTGTTACCTCTAGAATAGTTATGCCAGAATTTCACTACTGGGCACATCTTGCTTGGCAGGTTTGTATTATAGTTCATAGGGTTCATAGCTGCAAAAGAGATCTGTAATGATTTTCCTCTCCCATCACCCATCATGGCACCTTTCTGCTGAAAGCTAGCCAGCAGGGATAAAAGCTTCCAGCTCTTCTTCAGCTTTACATCAGTGGATTGTAATGATAAAGGCCATCCTTAAATGTGGAAGTAGATAATGAATCTATTTTCTGGAATATTCATAAAATGACAGAAATGTTTTACATGTTTTTATTCTAAAATTTTTCGATAAAGATAAAGGCTATGGTATTAAAAGTTTTCTGCAGGACAGACCATACTGTCAAACATTAGTAAACTAGAAAAAAAATGTATAATATTGTTTACTTGGGGGTTGAAAGAACATTCCAAAAGTAGAGGGCAACAGCTTTGTTGGGAGAAGCACAATGGAGCCCGTTCTTCTCCAACATTGACAACTGTATGCCCTCATGCATGTAACTTTTCCTGAGTCTCAGTCGTCACTCTTATTAAATGAAAATGAAAAACCTTACTCCATGGTGAAAAGTTACTAAAGGGAAGATTATTAAAGTTATTTAGTGAATTTTATGAGTTTAAAAACATTCTATCATAATCACTTTATTAAAATGTATATTTTAGTTATCCCAGGGAGATTGGAAGAGAATTGAGAAAGGCAGGCAGTTAAAAAATAAACAAAATATCTCTTTTTAATAAAGAGGAGATAGCCTTTCATCGTGTATAATTGAGCATTGATCTACAATATATTGTAAGAACATTTCTTAAAGGCTTTGAATGTGTGCTCAGGGAAAAGGCAAATTCCTCTTCCTTTAGCTTACAGGATATTTTGCATTACAGCAGAGCAGACAAGCTACACCCGTGCCTTTCCCCAGGGATATTAATGGGTAGGAACTAGACTAGGCTCCTAAAATTAATTTGTTCTAGACCAGGTTGCCACCACTTCTTTCTAGAACTATGCATTCTTCTTCCTGGGGCTAAGAAAACCGGGTTTTGAAAAATCTGGGAGACTTATCTAAAACAGTGTTGCTTACCTTATCTGACAAGAGTCAATCTTACATCTCTTGCTTCCAAGCTCAAAGTTTTTTTACTTTATCACTCCATTTCTCTGAAGTTATGAAGTTATGAGATAGAAACAGAGATATACCCTCTTTTTTGCTGTATATGGCTATATATATTACATATACACTCATATTATATATATGCATATATACACGATTTAGACATTATATATATGTATACGATTATGAGCAATAAAATCATAACTGAAAGCAGGAAGTTGAGAAAGAATCATACTTTATTGCCTCATTAAAATTGAGATGACGGAAGCTCACAGAAAATAATGGGTTCCCAAGATCACGCAAGGAGAGAGGAGAGTAAAGATACCTAACACTGGCTACATAGCTTCCTCTTGCAATATTCTTTTTAACACACCCCCACCATTTGTCAAATTCCCAATAAATAACTAAATCACAGACAAAAAAAAAAGATTTTACTACCTATGGATGTTCCAAAGAAAATAGGAAAAGTGAGGGAAGGTAATTGGGTTAGATTTGGAAATGACATATTTTCTAAATGTATCTAGCATGCATCTGTGATGAAGTCTGTCATGCATAACTGTTTGTTGGCTGCATATGAGTTCTGTTGCTATATTCTTTCTACAAATGGTTTATGTAATACAGCTTACATTTATCTTGGGATAAAATGTAGAGTATTTCGTCGAGCTTGTGAATCTCTACTTGCAACCCATTCATGCCACACCGTTTTATTAGTCCTCCACAGTTTCCGTGTTGCTGTGCAGCCACAGGGACTGTGCTGTGTCTCCTCCATGCGGCGTGCCTGCTGTCTACTACAGCTTCTGGATTGCTGTTTACGTCACCTATTCTTCACATTCGCTCATATTTATCATTGAAATTCCCATTTATTTATTCTCACTGTAGTCTGCTTTCATCTTCTGAGAAAGGGTCAGTTCTTTGGACGTGAACACTCACAGTGCAGTTTCTTCTTTTTCCATAAAACTTACTCATGTCACCAATTATTAACATTTACCTGTGATAATGACAGATTTAATATACCAAGCCTTCATATATGAGTTAAGTTTTATAAACATTAATGCCTTTCTTGACACTTGACACCTATGTGTCATTATTTATGCCTTTGAAATTGACTTTCACCAGTCATTTATCATGACTAACAAATAATGACCACCCATATTGCCTACACCCATTAGATGTAAAATTACATCCATGTGTGGAATGCCTAAATTAATCTAAGGCTACAACATATCCTATTCAACAGTCTTTATGTGCCCTAGTTATTGGTCTTGAATTGATTTTCTTCTGATGAATTTGCTACCCTGCATGGTATGATCATTTATCATCACTGTAGCAAGTGTGAAAATGACAAATCTGCATAGTTCTTCTGCTGTTCACATCACTGTCACTTGCTTTGTTATATATAATTCTTTGTTCACAATAAAATGGTATAGCATATCTGTTTGTATTATGGTGTTGCAGGAACTGTTATGTTCTTAGAAAAATTTTAAAAACAAGAATACATAATTGGTATCTCTTTTCCCCATAGGTGTGAAATTGAGACAGTTGAAGACAAGGCATGGCATGGCTTACACCAGCTCTCAACCTTGATACTGACAGGAAACCCTATCCAGAGTTTGTCTCCAGGAAGTTTTTCTGGACTAACAAGTTTAGAGAATCTGGTGGCTGTGGAGACAAAATTGGCCTCTCTAGAGAGCTTCCCTATTGGACAGCTTATAACCTTAAAAAAACTCAATGTGGCTCATAATCTTATACATTCCTCTAAGTTACCTGACTATTTTTCTAATCTGACAAATCTAGAACATGTTGATCTTTCTTATAACAATATTCAAACTATTTCTGTCAAAGACTTACAGTTTCTACGTGAAAATCCCCAAGTCAATCTCTCTTTAGACTTGTCTTTGAACCCAATTGACTTCATTCAACCCCAAGCCTTTCAGGGAATTAGGCTTCATGAACTGACTCTAAGAAGTAATTTTAATAGCTCAAATGCAATGAAAATGTGCCTTCAAAACCTGGCTGGTTTACACGTCCATCGGTTGATCTTGGGAGAATTTAAAAATGAAAGGAATCTGGAAAGTTTTGACAGCTCTGTCATGGAAGGACTATGTGGTATGACCATTGATGAATTCAGATTAACATATATAAATCAGTTTTCAGATGATATTGTTAACTTCAATTGCTTGGCAAATGTTTCTGCAATGTCTCTGGCAGGTGTATCTGTAAAACACCTAAAAGATATTCCTAACCATTTCAAATGGGAATCCTTATCAGTCTTTAGATGTCAACTTAAACAGTTTCCAACTCTGAGTCTACCCTTTCTTAAAAACTTTACTTTAAACACCAACAAATGGAGTATCAGTTTTACAAAAGTGACTTTGCCAAGTCTCAGATTTCTAGATCTTAGTAGAAATGCCCTGAGCTTTAGCGGTTGCTGTTCTTCTAATGATTTGGGAACAAACAGCCTGCTGTACTTAGACCTCAGCTTCAATGGTGTCATCACTATGAGTGCCAACTTCATGGGTCTAGAAGAGCTGAAATATCTGGATTTTCAGCACTCCACTTTAAAAAAGGTCACAGAATTCTCAGCTTTCTTATCCCTTGAACAACTCCGTTACCTTGACATCTCTTATACTAACATCAAAATTGACTTTGATGGCATATTTCTTGGCTTGACCAGTCTCGAGACCTTAAAAATGGCTGGCAATTCTTTCAAAGACAACACCCTTTCAAATGTCTTTACAAACACAACAAACTTGACATTCCTGGATCTTTCTAAATGCCAATTGGAACAGATATCATTGGGGGTATTTGATACACTCTATAGACTTCAGTTATTAAATATGAGTCACAATAACCTACTTTTTTTGGATCCATCTCATTATACACAGCTGTACTCCCTCAGCACTCTGGATTGCAGTTTCAATCACATAGAGACAGCCATAGGAATACTGCAACATTTTCCAAAGAGTCTAGCCTTCTTCAATCTTACCAATAATTCTGTTGCTTGTATATGTGAACATCAGAACTTTTTGCAGTGGGTCAAGGACAAGAAGCTGATCTTGGTGAATGTTGAACAAATGACATGTGCAACACCTGTAGAAATGAAGGCTTCTCTAGTGTTGGATTTTAGGAATTCCACCTGCTATATGTACAAGATCATCATCAGTGTATCCGTGGTCAGTGTGATTGTGGTATCCACTGTAGTGTTTCTGATATACCATTTCTATTTTCACCTGATGCTTATTGTTGGCTGTAAAAACTACAGGAAAGGAGAAAGCATCTATGATGCCTTTGTGATCTACTCAAGTCAGAATGAGGACTGGGTGAGAAATGAGCTGGTAAAGAATTTAGAAGAAGGAGTGCCCCACTTTCAGCTCTGCCTTCACTACAGAGACTTTATTCCTGGTGTAGCCATTGCTGCCAACATCATCCAGGAAGGCTTCCACAAGAGCCGGAAAGTTATTGTGGTGGTGTCCAGACACTTTATCCAGAGCCGATGGTGTATCTTTGAGTATGAGATTGCTCAGACATGGCAGTTTCTGAGCAGCCGCTCTGGCATCATCTTCATCATCCTTGAGAAGGTGGAGAAGTCCTTGCTGAGGCAGCAGGTTGAGTTGTATCGCCTTCTTAGCAGAAACACCTACTTGGAGTGGGAGGACAGTGCTCTGGGGAGGCACATCTTCTGGAGAAGACTCAAAAAAGCCTTGTTGGATGGAAAAGCCTCGAATCCAGAGGGAGCAGCAGAGGAAGAACAAGAAACAGCTACTTGGACTTGAGGAGACCAAAACTCTGGGTCTAATACCCATTCTGTTTACAATTATTAAATGCTACAGCTCACTTGGGTTCTGCTGTGGAGAGGGATCCCGTGGAGCACAAGGCTGCTAACCTCATGGACCTTACAGGGCAGAAGGAAGTAACACTGTGATGAAACTCCTTACTTTCCAGGTATTAACCAACTCAGGCAAAGAATCATAACCAAGAAAGTTTACTCTTATCAAACTGAAAGAGAAGAAGCTAAGGCCAGTGAGAACAGAAAGGAGTATCATTCTTCCTGGGGCCTTTTGAATATAAGCCATATTATGCACTGTGTTTCAGTTACCTTAGAAGAGTTTTGATAGTATAAACAGAACTGAATGTTGCTTACTTTCCTTTTTTTCTACTGAATGCAATTTAAATGGCACAAACTCTTTTTAAGAAACCCTCATTCCAATTTCATCTTCCATTTTATGTCATTTTCTTTTTTTTATCTAATTCTACAAGAAATATGATTGATACATGCTCACAGATAACCTGTCCAATCCTTAGAATGGTATATTTATTAAATAAAAATTCCTAGTACACTTTTATTTTTATAAATTCAGTCATCATTTTTCATGCCTTGACTATAAACTCATATCATAAATAAGGTTGTAGGAAGTATGCTGTGGATGCCCATATTTAACTACAATTTTTCAAGAAAGTGTGTAAAGTATACTCTGTCACTTTGTCACTGGTTATCATTCTACTAAATTATTATCTACTAAGTTATGGATGTCATAGAGTCAATGTTAAAAATAATTTGGTTGATAGATATATTTTTAATCAGGAGAGAAAAGTGGAGAGGAGTACATGAACAGAAATCCTAACTTGGTCATTTATTCTTGACTTTTCCAGAACCATAGAAATTCACATAGTTGAACGGCAAGACTACATATGTTGGAATTGATGTTCCTTCTCAGCAAGGACACTGTCTAATGGACTTGTAGAGCCTTTCAGGGAAGCAGGAAAGTCTGACATCCTTTCCCTTTATCATTCCCATTGCTGGACATGCTTTGTTAGATGGATGAATGTTGGAGTACACATTTCTGCTTTCACCTTATTCCAGTCAGCATGAACACTGTATATATAATGGCATGAGTACAGTGTGTGTGTGTGTGTGTGTGTGTGTGTGTGTGTGTTTGATGGGGCATTAGTTGAGCCAATTCAGAAAATTATGGAGGTTTCTTGATAAAGGACACCAAAGTAGAACTATTACAAGATCTAACAATAAAAATTTTCAAACAGACAAACAAGTAAGAAAATTGGATTTCCTTGTCTATTTTAGCAATATTCATAATATTCAAATTATGGAAACAACCCAAATGTCCATTGGAAGGTTAATGCATAGAGATAGTATGCTATATACTTGCAGTAGAATGTTATTTGTCCAGTGAAAAGAAGGAATAGTTGCTATTTGTGACCAGATGGATAAAGGTGGAGTTCTTTTATTGTAAGTGAAATATGCCAGGCATGGAAGGAATTGGCATTTCAGGAACTTTTAATGATGTGAGCAAAGATGAAAAGAAATTATATGCAGAACAATAGAAGAGGAAGTCAAAAGAAAGCCTGGCCTAGGATGTATTTTTCACAAGCATTTTAAACAATCTGCTTGAAAGAGAATTGAGTTATTCATATTAATTAGGATGCCTGCAATTATTGTATTTCCATTCAACTTGGAACATAGCCACTTAATTGTCTCTTGTTAGTCAAGTGAGATAAGAAATCAAGAATCTCCCCATTTTTCTGATATAAACCCCAAAATATTACTCAGTAAATGTCTTGTTAATCAGTCAAATAGCACAGAAGAGGCAAGGTGACAGCTTTGGCCCCTTCCCTCTCAGAGAAATTCCTGTGCTCTCTTGCCCATTGCTTCACGGTTCAAGCTAGCAAAGAAAGAAGTGAAACTAACTCTATGTGGTTAGTGCCAGTCAGGGTTTTATAGCTTAAACCATGAATCATTAAGCAAATACATATGCATGCATGCATTATGCACAGAGTGGTTTATTTATAACAACTCTTTCCATAAAGTGCTTGGGGAGTTTTCAACAAAGTATATAGAAGCAATGAGGTTAATCAAAAGAAAAATATATAGACAGAAGAAAGAATTGAAAAAAAGAAATGAAAAGTTTTAACTGTATATTTCAGGTTTAATTCCAGAGACTTTCTGGAATTTTGGGTACAATGACTACTGGAGAATTCCTAAACTTATTTTCAGATAATATAAGATGTATGATTTTGGCTTTATCTGTCTGAGAGCTAGTCACCTTAAGAATAAAATGAAGATCTTATATTTATTTTCAGGGCATTACAAACTAATAAATATAAAGTTAAAAGGGTGGTTCTTCTGATGAGTCACTCTCTTGGCTTTCTTATGGGTAATCAAAGACAAGCACTGAGTAAGTAGCCTTCTCAATGACAATCTTTTGGTCACATTAGTTTTCCCAGTATGTAGGACAATGGCGGTCCCTATGACTAAAGTAGATAGTTTCTTTTTGGTTTAGCTTCTATTCATATGTGTTGGCCTAGCTTCCTCTTTTGATTCTATAGCCTTTTGAAATCACTAGGAATCATTGGAACCTCATGGATGGACTTAAGACAGTTCTCACATGTGTTCCTAGGCAGTTGAGGGAGGAGTTGGGAGGCTGGGGACCATATGTTAACCATCACTATTGCTTCCCTGGTGTTGAGTATCATGCCTGACAAAGTTAACATACAATGCCTGTTTATGTGAAGAACAGGTGGATTATTAATCCATATTTTCTTGGTGTTCTGTTGTCCTCTATACTTCTCAGTCAAGAATGTAAAGTCCTATGGATCTTAAGTTTCAACTTAGTTTTCACAGTTGTGACATTCCCTGTCTGTCACTTGCATGGACGTTTTAAATTCCTTCTTCACTTGGATGCTTGACATCCTGTATTCTAAAATTTTGTGGAAGGTGTGTGTTTGGGGGTGGTGGGTTCTAACAATAGTTTTCTCTAGTGGACACCTTAAAGTCCTAGTCAGCTTATTTATATATGATACTTAATTAAATTCCACATGTTCTACCAATTTAATGAACATTCACAAAATCACATTAGAAAATAAAGGATTTTCTTAACACGTGTAAAGTACACAAGGCATTAAATGGGAAAATTAAAAATCCAACCTGACTTTATCAAATAGTTTCTCTACTGTTTTCTTTTTCTTTTATGTCAATATTTGAATTCAGCTGTTCTTTATTTTTGTTTATTGTTTTCTATTATGAGAATTCAAAGCCAGAACTTTGAAGAGCTGACAGAAGCACTGTGGACTATGAAGATAGTTTTTGGAGTTAAAAATTTTCTCTAACAACTATGGACTAAGTCTCCACACTTCACCTCTCCTTTCTGATGGAATCAACTCCTTTCCAGGAGACTTCCATTTATGCTAACTTTGTCATGCAAACAAGAAGACTAATAGGACCAGCTGTTTCTGTCTTTATAGCAATTTCTCAACATTCTTCACTTGGATATTTCTTTTGTCACGTGGTTTTTAATTGGGCATTCTTTCAACCCTTCATTAAAAGGCCAAGACTTCTTATTAGAAACCAATTCAATGAAATCCCTAAGTTGATAGCATCTAAGAACACTGACTTTTTCAGTGTACCTTGATATGGAAGTTAAGTTTGGTTGTCTGAAGAAGGAAAGTATGTCCTTTTGATTGATTTTCCTAATGGTGCCATTGTGCCATTTTTTTTTCAAAACTTTGTGAAATTAAAGAATTCAAAGTATTTAAACTTACTACTCATAATTCAAGCATCTATTTTGCAGATGCAATTAAGAGATTGGAAAGTTTGTCTTATATATTCTCATCATCAACTATTCTAGTTATTACAAAAGAAGGAGGGAGTAAAATTTTGAAGGATATGTTAAAGTGCCTTCTTTTACTTAAAGGTTCTTTTAGAAAAGGCAAACAGTTGATTTAGGTTTGAGTTGTGGTTGTATTATATCTTCACATGGTAATTTGGAAGAGGTTTACATACCAATTTCAGTTTGCTTACCTAGGCCTTGAGGGTCATTCTATAGTACATGATTAGGCTACTATGAAGACAAAAGAAATCATTCAGGGGAGATTCAGCAAAGCTCTTAATTTATCTTATATGAGGGGCACATGCCAGAATGAGAAAAATCACAAGCCTCTCAAGAAGTTAATTTAGTGGACTAGCATCCCAGAAATCTCCAGGAGATCTGATGCATATGGTCTTAGCAGTGAGTCATCTCTGAAAAAGAATAGAAAAACAGACAAGGAGGGTCAGTACTCTGAAAAACACAGAGTCAAATATTCCTGTTTCCAGAATTTATAATAAACAAAGTCCAAACACTGTTTATTTCTAATAAAGTGGAAGACTAGTGTCCTGGGAATGTCCTTCAGGATGGGAAGTGAGATACAATTCCAATTCTCCTTTTACGTATGTGATCTTTACATAGTCCCTTAAGTACCTAGAGGCTCAGGTTCTAGCACATAAAATGGGCAAAAGCATCTCGATAGGGTTCACTTAGCCAAAATGTAGAAATGGATGCCGAGAGAGAATATATAACTTGTCCTGCATCCCATAGCTTACAATGTATTAATAATCATCATAATAAATTCTATCTGTAAAATATTTGATATGTACCTGATACTTTTAATTTAATTACAAAAACTCCCTTCTAATGCAGCTCCTAGCCACATTGTCATTTATCATACAATGAAACTGAGTGTAAGGAGCACGTTCTCCAATTCGAAGGGTAGAATCTAAGTTAACCTGATATTTATGACTGCTAATTTTTCACCACACAATAGCCTGCTGCAGTGTCTGGGCTTTTTTGCTGGGGGGTGATTCTCTCACTAACAGGAGAATCCTGTGGACAAGGTCAGCAACTCCCTTCCCATCTAGAAATTGAAGGTTTCAAAGGCATTGCATGTGACTTTCCTATTTCTACAGAAATGAAGATGGTCCCTCCTGTGACAGTGCTAAGTGCCGAGTCTGAGTATAAATGTGCTTTTTGGCACAAATTGTCCTGTTCTAATAGTGTTGATTATAATTATAAAATAATGTGTTTCTGAAAGGCTGCAAGCAATTCTGGGAATGACAATAAGGGTTTCAAAACAACATGGTATTTATGTGAGAAGTGTTTTGTTGAAAATTAAACCTGTGTTTAGGAGAAAGGATCGTGTTGTTTGCTCCTAAGAAACTATCACACCATGTAATTAAATCAAAGCCAGTTTGTTGCCAATTTGAGTTCTTGTCTTACATGAAAAATATTGTGTCACCTATGATAAGCAAGATATGACTGACCAGAGGTAACCAAGCAAGACTCTTTACCCAAATCCTGTTTCTCTATATTTTTAGGGCCCAAAAAGAAGATGGAAGTGCATGGTCAGTTTCTCCCCAGGCTGAGAATTAACTTTGTTGGGTAAAGCCTCTCTTCAAGGTCATCTCAGTTTCCCCTTAAGGAATAGGTTTTTGTTCAAGGGATTTTTATAGGAGGCTCTGTCTGGAAATAAGTGAAGAATTCAATGTTGTAGAGGCTATATTGACCTCCTTTCTTAGGAGGAAA